AATTATAATTAACTAATTGGTACTTGGTTAATTAGCTAATTAACTAGCTAATTTCCATGAAGACAACTAAAATATATGACACCAGATGGTGTCCTGAGCTTCTAAAGGATCAGACAATTTGTCTGAACCTTGAGAAGCTCAGGACACCATCTGGTGTCATATGTTCTAGTCGTCTTCATGGAAATTAGCTAGTTCAAAAATTTGTTTCTCCAGTTGGAGACTTAAAACATTTTCTCATAGGACAGTTTGAGCTTATAAAGTATCTTTCTTAGTAGATGACCTCTGTAGCGAGTTGATCTTTGATTCCCCAAGAGCATCCCAGCCACAATAAGGGGTCAAGCAAAGTTGGTGTTTGTCTCCTCCATATCCCGATTGTCACCATGAGCCCAATATTTTCACAACTGTCCTGTACAGCCTGATATAGTCAGCTGAGAGGAGCTAGTGAGAAGTATCATCTCAAAAATTAGATTGATTAGCATGGACAATGTACTTCCATTCACCTCTACTAATCATAGTAGTAATTTTACTATTCTGTACATAGTACAGTAATTTTAGAGAAAACATAACCATACAAATGAGCGCTATCCTGCATTCCACTTTAAGGTGAATTTTGCATGTAAATTGATGTTAGGCAAAACAAAATACAGTAGTACACCATTTCTCTTTTATTTGCCATGGGGCTTAATGGTGGTGAAACTTGCCTATACACACACAATGTACAGGGAACGTACCAATGCAAACCAATGAAGCTGCAGAAACCAATGATAATACAGACTATACGGCATGACAAAAGCCCCACGTGAATGAAAAGCAACTTGGAGGGAAGCAGCCAATCTTCCAGTGGGATTCCATAACTGTTACATAATAATTACTGTCTTACACACTACAAATATATACAAAAATCTTACTCCACCAAATGAAAAATACAACTGAATGCTGAAACTCTACAAAATATGACCAATCTTGGAGTGCCAGCATTGGAGGGAAAACAAGACTGGACATGGGCACCACAGTGCCCGAGGCTCCTTGTCTACAGAGGAACTATAGTTTGGGATTAATAAAATAAATCAATATACTTTTAACAATTTTTCTGTATGTGAGGCCTTACAAGTCAATTTCTCAATTAAAGAGTAACTAGGTCACTTATAAAATACCTACAGAAGAAGGTCAGGAGGGGGAATTTTCTAACCTGAACTTCACGTCCATCACTATTTTCATTATTCTGACAAGTAACCATATCACCAGTCCTGGGGCCAGCGCTTGCATCTTTTTCTCACAACGGAGTCAAGAACTACTCCTGCATGCTTAAGTTACACTTAATCACTTTAGTTACACTTTTTACCACTTTCTACAGTTCCTATTTTAAGAGTACTTTCAAGGCTTGCCTGAGGAAATCACTTCACTTTAACAAATATTTAATGTTCATAATCATCAGGCAACATACCATGGTAGTTTCTAGCCTTTCTATCTTTAGCATAATTCATAATATAGTACTTGCTTAGATGGTTTGAATGACAACTTTAACAGCATTGTAATTCATGGTCATTAAACTATTATATTTCTAACACATTTTTTTTTTATTTCACATTCTGATCAAAATCAAGCAATATTTTCAAATGAACAGGAGTGATCAGCTATGTAACACAAGTAGATTAAAAACAAAAAAACACCCTGGCTGCCTTTATCTTGTCCACTATAAGGTCCTGGAATGACCCCACAAGACAGCACTTTCTATACACACACACACACTTACTTACATACATACATACATACATACATACATACATACATACATACACACACACACACACACACACACACACACACACACACACACACACACACACACACACACGCACGCGCGCACACACACACACACGGTGACATGGCGCAGGGAGCTCCAGGATCATCTTATTATCTAGATAGTAGTGTATGTGTGAGGTGTGCAAGTGGTGTCCCAGATACTATAAATATATTGAATGGAAGAAGACAAAAACAATAACAATGGCAGATGACGAGGGATCCCCCCACAGTCAACACAGGATGGAAATTTCATGGATTTCACTGAGAAAGAAAGATATTCTTGGAAGATTAGTGAAGGTGAAGGATTTGCTAAAGATTCATAAAGGAAAATTTCTTATACTGTATTAGAAAGGGAAATGAAGATCTTGAAAAAACAGAAGGTAAGATTTTTATAAGCATGTATGTTAGAGAGAGGAAGAGAGAGAAGGACGTTACCAATTTAGCCGATATAGTAAAGAGACAGTAGAGAAATTAAGGAACTATTGAAAAGAAATGAGATATGGAAAGTGAAGGAGGAAGATTTTGATGAACCAAATTCACATTTCTGAAAGTTGTTTATACTAATACGGATGGGGTGAGGTAAAAAAAAAATACTGGAGTTAAATGATATAATGTAGGTTAAGATGCCAGATATTGTTGCAATATCAGAGACGAAACTTGAAGATAAAATTTTAAGGGAGGTGGTATTACCGAGGGGGCTACAGTATTTAGAAATGTGGCAAAAAAAATGAGAAAATGTGGAGGCATTGCAATCCTGGTGAAGGAACAACTGAAGGCAAGAAAATTAATGCTTGACAACCCATGAGAAGTCGACATAATAGCACTGGAGATCTGCAATCAGGATGATTGTGATAATCATTAATGCCTACAGTCCACCAGCATGCAATGCATGGATAAAGGAAGAGCTAGGGTGACAAAAGAGAGAGCCTTATAATAATCATGAAAGTAAAAGCAAACAAAGAAGAATGTAGTACTACCAAGTATCATCACGATTGATGATACTTCCAGCCTATTGGTGACTTCAATAGGCTGGAAGGCCCATGAAGCAAGAATAGAGGACATCTGAACTGGCAGATTTGTAAACCTTATCCTGATACCGTTCATGCATCAACATGTTACAGGCTTTGAGAATGAGAAAATGGAATGCTCCATCAATACTGAATTTAATATTTAACACTTTCGCGCTCTCCGCAAAGGTCACTCAGCCAACCGAATGTGCGCGCTGCGTTTTTATCGCTTAAGCGTAAAAACAAAAATGTGTATACTCTTTTTACTCTTCTGACCTTAGTTCTCATGCTACGTATTTCATTTTGGTACCAACGTGTTCGCAATAAAATTCTCTAGAAGAACATTAGTAAAATAAGTCACGAAACATATAGGGATACCAGCACCAAATAAATAACTACGTAGATGACTCGCCGTGAGCGCCCATCAGCAACAAAATGTTTTTACTCTTGGGATTGTAATCACCTCCACACTTGTTCTACAGCGTTAATTTTGGTATCAATGGACTCGCAATGAAATTCCCAACACGGTGATATGAATATAAGCGTAGAATAATGATGCAGCCCGCCCGCAAGAGTGTGGGAAGTGGTGAAATTGTTACCCGGTATCGGTGACGGGACGACGCACGGCGCTTTGAAAGTTTATACTTATTTCACTCTCATGACATTAATTTTCTATGTACGTCATTCATTTTTATGTCAATGTGTTCGCAATAGAATGTTCTATGTGCCCATAGGTAAAAAATATCAACAAAGCGTAAGTTAGAATAGCGACAAATATAAAACAACGCTGGAACATATCAGTGAGCGTCAAACACACACGAAATATATTTACTTTTGTTATGTTTGTCAAGATTATACTTGTTGCACACAGTTATTTTTGGTTGTATATTGATCGGAATAAAATTCCCTAAACAGACATATGCATATAATACATGATATGGGGGAAGAATTACCAGTATAAACGGCTAAAGTCACCCACCTGCAACCCGTTTGGGACAAAATACCATTTGATCGAAGTTATCCACACCTTTCATGAACTTATTGTACCATGCAGCCTAGTGGTGAGAAAGAGAGCCTCATAGCGCGCAGTTTGAAACAAACCCAAAGTAAATCGGATAAAAATTGAATTTTATACAAATATTTTAAAAGTTGACATAACTTTATGTCCACTATGCGTTTACGTTAGACGAAACCGAACGCGCCGGCGCGTCCAGATAGCGCGAAAGTGTTAACAGGAAAGAAGAGATATTTGACATTCATTATCTTCCTCCCTTGGTTAAGATGAGAATGGAGAATGTGAAATAGTAGAAAGCTTTGTTTTTTATTTCAAGAGAGAACACTACGGGGAACTTAGCAAGTTATTTAATGCATTTAATTGGAAATATATGTTGTTAGGCAAAGAAGTATGCCAAATTTTGGGAGAGATGAAGAACTAGAAAATAGAATTGTTTCAACAGACATTACAAGAGCGCCAGAAAACAAGAGAAAAAATGGAATCAATATAGAGAGATCTAACCCTAAAATAATAACAGCAATATAAACATGCAAGAAACAAGCTTTCTAGTCGACATATTAGACAAAATTAAAATGAAATGGGTAGAATACTTGGACAAAATTACATAAAGACAGTATAGTATAACTTTCAAATGGGTAGATCCTGTGTAACAAATCTTGGTTATTATGATAAGACCAACAGAGGTCTTACAGGAAAGGGATGGTTGAATTGAGTGCATTTATCTAGACCTTAAAAAAAAATGGGGGCTTTTGATAGTCCCATACAAGAGGTTGCTCTGGAAGCTCGAACATGCTGGAAGGGTGACAGGTAGACGTCTGACATTGGTGAAAAATTTTCTTACAGAAATATGAGGGCAGTAATTAAGAGGCAATGACTGGAGAAATGTTACTAGAGTACCACAATGTTTAGTTCTAGCAACTGTAGTGTCCATTGTATATAAATGGTCTACCAGAGGGGATACAGAGTTATATGAACATTGTTTGCTTATGATGCTAAGTTATCAGGAACAGTATGAGAATTAGACTAATCATGCTCTTTAAGAAGACCTAAACAACACGAGAGAATGGAGCAACACCTGGCAGATAGAATTCAGTGTGAATAAATGCCATGTTATGGAATGTGGAATAAAAGAAAATATGCCACACATACCCTACAAATTATACGAAAAGACATGGTGGCATACCAAGGGTGGGGCGAGAGGTGACTGCCCGAGCGTCACTTCCTGACTGGGGGTGCAGTATGTTTTTTTTTTTAATGCAACCCTCCACAAAAATTCATCTCTCATCATTGGTGCACATTATTTGTGTAGAAAATATCCATGATTGTAGAAAAAATCATCATTTAATATTATTTAGTGCCACTAAATAACCGAGCGGACAGCACGCTGGACTTGTGATCCTGTGGTCCCGGGTTCGATCCCGGGTGCCGGCGAGAAACAATGGGCAAAGTTTCTTTCACCCTATGCCCCTGTTACCTAGCAGTAAAATAGGTACCTGGGTGTTAGTCAGCTGTCACAGGCTGCTTCCTGGGGGTGGAGGCCTGGTCGAGGACCGGGCCGCGGGGACACTAAAGCCCCGAAATCATCTCAAGATAACCACTAGGGTTCAAAAAGGTGTGACAGAGCATGTTCAAAGATCCATCTGAAAATGCATGGCTTCACAAAGTGAGTCATTTACAATCAAGAATGAGAGTCGAAAGATGTTTAATTTTAGTGTGAATTAAATTAATTTTAATAGGCACTTTATAATATTGAGGTAAATTAAATTTATTTAAATAATAATTAATGATAAATTAATATAATACCCGATATATTTTAACACCCATTATTATTCATAGGTTTGAAACTATACATATTAAATGAAAATATTGTCTGTAGGTTCCATCTTTGTGATTATATTTCAGTGAAATATATGTAATGAATTGTGAATTATTTGTTTTATTAGAATGTTGTTATGCCCAAAGGCAGGCTTGAGTGGAGGTGGCCTATTTTTTCATTCCGTAGTCTCTCCAATTAAAAATAATTTAATTATGATAAGGCTCCAGAAAGTCTTGTTTGGTATTTATGTATCACTGATAATTAGTATACCCTGCTATCTTTACTATTGACTTTGATGTTAATAATTAATGGTCGTTTCGTTTTGCAGGTAATAATTACTGAATTACCAAAAATGAGCAAACAATAGACTGAGTGGTGCTGCTTACAAGAAGTTTTGTGAAGACAGAGAAGGAAGTAAAGTGTGACATTTATAGATTTTGTCAGTTAATGAAATTCTCAGACACAACTTCAGCATCTTCTGGAAAGCAAGATGATCATCCTCAATTTGACATAGCTTTAGAGATAGATGCTAAACAACAACTTCAAGTGAATCCCCAAATAATCAAGATCAACCCTTGTCTACATCACAAATTTTCCTACCCATCTATCACCCACAGTCTGTTTAATGATTTTGGGAACTGGCCCATTCAAATGATGGACAGTCTGAGAACAGAACTTGTTAAACATAGACAATACATTTTAAAAACATAAATAGACCCTTTCCAGTTTATTTAAATAAAAGGTCAATGTCAAAAGTTTGGCATTTCAAAACTTTGGAAAATGGAGGAAAAACTTAAAAGTTATGGCTGATATTCTCACGATCAAAATGCAGCTTGCATGGCTTTTGCTGTCATCTCTTCAACAATAGCTCCAGTGCATATTGGAAAAGAAGAATTTTTTTTACTAGAGGTAACTAAATCTGAAAATACCTGAACATGAAACTGTTCACATCGTACCGGATGGTTTGAACAATGAAAAAAGTTGTCAATGTGCCTTCAGTTGAATGCTGCAACAGATAATGCACATCACTTGCAAATTCTGCTGCTAAGTGGAAAAGAGTACTGAAACACATTTATGACTGCATCATGTTCTTGACAAAACATCTTGCATTCTGAGGTCACTGAGAGAACTTAAATGAAATTAGCAATTATGGAAACGACTTGGAGTTAATAAAACTAATTGCTAAATATACCCCAGTAATTAGGGAACATCATACAAAAATAATAACTAATGACAAGATATCCACTTCATATTTACCCCTAGCATTCAAAATGAGTTCCTCACACTAATCAGTTGTAACGTTTGAAAATATAGAAATGATAATGTGTTTAATGCAAAATACAACTGCCATAATTTTTTAAAGTACACCAGATACATCATAAACTGATCAGATGTCTCGTATAATTCATTGTCCATTGAAAACAGTAATATATAGGCAGTTGCTGATCTCATTATCACTAAGCTTTGTAAGGATGGACTGGATATCCAGAACTGTCATGGTCAAGGGTATGACAATGCTGCTATGATGACAGGTATTCAATGAGAAGTTCAATGCAGAATTCTTGATGTTAGTAAATACACTGCTTTCATTCCTTGCAATAACCACTCTTGAACATGGCTGAAGTTCATGCCATGGGACTGAATTCTAATGCTGTAACCTTCTTTGGGACAATTGACATTTTTTTTTCTTCCTTTACCTTTTGATTGGGGTTTTAACAAAACATTTCAAAATCACTGTCAACCAAGCCTGATAATTGGTGGAGTGCCAAGTATGATGCCATTTCTAATCTTTAGAAGAACTTTACTTGCACTCCCAGTACCTTAGAAGAACTGAGTGCAGGGATCTCTGAAAATCAGGACACAAAGGACCGTGTTGAAGCTTTGTTGCCCTCCATAATTCATAAAAATTAATTGTGTACTTATTTTTCAGGAATCCAATACTGAAAGAAATCAATGATGCTCAGCTATATTTTAAAAGAATATGACGTTTGGACAAGTGTGCATTAAAAATGACCTTTTTGTTGACCAGACCACATACTAGAAGGTGAAGGGACGATGACGTTTCGGTCCGTCCTGGAACATTTTTAAGTCGATTGTGTCAATTTTCGATTGTGTGAGTCGATTGTCAAGTACTTTAGCCATGTTATTGTGACTCATCGCCTGCAATGACCTTTTATTCCTGTTTTTAACTAATAAATGAGAGAGTAATATCCAATGCTGCAGATGCCAGTGAAGAGTTCTGCAATGAAATGCACGTCAGTATATACAGCAGAGTAGGAAGAAGGAGAAGAATGCCTGCGGAGTAAGTGTGTGATACTGGGTTGACCGTGCAAGAGGTTGTATGCAGATAATTTTTTAAATAATAAATCAATTGTTAGTAGAAATTGGAAAATGCACAGTTTGTCTTAAAAATATGAATGATCACTTTTGACTAATTCAAAAGATACGATAGAAATTCATAGATGAAATTAATACCAAGGTCAATATTATTTTTCCATCTACAATGAGAATAATCCAGGAAGTCTACTGGAAAAAGTATTTGTGCAGATAATTGCTCAGTTGCAAAAGCATAAATATCAACAATTTATTTATTATAATTTATTCATTATTTATTTATTATTAACAGTGATCCAAAGAATTGGGATGTGTTAAAAACTACTTCAGTGAATCATTAAATGGGATCCGGTGGAATCTTTGCATCAAACAACTGCCCTCTGCATCTGTCTATGTGCATGTCTGTCGAAAGTCCCAAACAAAATTTATCGAAACTGAAACTTATTAAAACTTACCTCGCGTCAATTACAAGCCAATCTAGACTGAGCAATTTTGTTTTATTTTAAATGAACTAAAAAATGTGAGCCAATAGACACAATAAAATTTTTCATGAATTTTATGTCGAGTCTGAAAATTTAAGTAATCAGTAATCATAATACAAGTTAACATTATGTAGTGTGTATTATGTAGTAATGTTAAAATTGAAGTTATTTAAGTTTTTCTTCCAATAAAAGTTTTGTTTAAAAATGTGTTTGATGTAAAGGCATTTTTTTAACTTGAAATTTTTTGTAGGGTGCAAGGGGGGAGGGGGGGGAGGTGAAATGCCATATGCATTTTCACCCTGAGTGACAAAAAGTACTGGTATGCCTCTGCAATAACATCAATAAACTTGGTCAATAAGAGTGATTCAGAAGTGGTTCTGTTATCAGAGGACCACAAAGGATATTGTGCGAGGCGCCTATGTTATATTTTTCAATTTCTGAATCGCAATTAAATTCATGGACGGTGAAATACTACTGGAAAAGGTATAAAGACATGCTAATATATGATTTCCAGAAATGAAAATCATGAACTATGAGGAGAAGCTCGAAGTGTTCAATATGCCAAAGTTAGAACACAGAAGAAAAAAACATGAAAAAAAGGGTAAAGGTGATATGATCACTATATACAAAACAGAAACAGAGTCAACAAAACTTGGAGGCATTCTTGAAACCTGCATCTTCTAGAACTAGATTATAGATTCAAACTAATGAAAAATGGGCATAAAAATTTTGAATGTTCTCTATTGCAAACAGAGTGGTAGACAGTTGGAACAGGTTAAATATTCCAACACTTATTAAGTATGTGATAAGGTGGTAAAAGTTAAAACTCTCAATAGTTTCAAAGAGTCATATCTCAGAGTACTGGGAAGATGGGACACCTCGAGCACAGCTCTCATCCTGTAAACACGCACACACACACACACACACACACACAGGATAGGTAATTACCAAATTACACTTTGGTAATTACAGACACAGTCCATCACTTCCAAAGGGCCATGCTAATGCTCATGCCAGTCCACAAGTAGTCACTAAGTGAATGATGAGCAAGTTGTTCCCAGCCGCGTTTGCACTACAGGTGGCTGGCATTGATCCTTTGGCGCTCTCTTTCCTTGGCTGGCCCCAGTCACTTCTGTGTTCCAACAATAAGTTATCATATCTTTACCAACATTAATTAATTTTCTTTGTATAATAACAACAGTTCAATATTCAATAAACTTTCTCATAGAAAAATAATAAACCATTATAACATGATATTTTACTCTCTATTCTTGATAACATTTCCTGCTATCTAACATTCAACTTGGTGATGTGCAAAGAAAATACAGGGGTTAGGAAGTTTCCTCAAGTACACTGTGTATCTACATTAATGCCTTTGGTATAGAAGAGTTGAGTATGTAAGGCTCTGTATATAAGTGAACTATATTAATGTACTTACATTCATAACAATAGTATACAACAGTCTGACAACAGCAACTGTTACCATCCTCATAGAATAATAATCTCTCTGTACACTAGACATGTAAGTCACAACCCAATGGTAAGAATTGCACATAAGGCTGAACCGAACCACAGTTAACATGCCACTAGCAGCTTCACTGGACCTACCTTGGCTGGCTGCCATATATCCCTGCCCAACAACGATGGCAAAACACCATCAACACCTTTTACAATACCGTGGCCAAGAAATGCCCGGATAGTCTTTCTATTCCAGGCTCAGAACAAGTTCACACTGCGGCAATTTAAAAGATGACATTTAAGGTGGAGAAGAATAAAAAAAATATAGCAATGGGATATACACTTGCCATTCAATGAATTGCAGGTATTCCCACTGTGAGGTAAATTATGAGTTTCATATACCTAGAAGAGAAATAATTTCCTTAATGTAATCAATGGTAAAAGCAAGGTAGGGAGCATGTACACATTACTTGTGGGTAAATGGGAAATAGAGATGCACGAACCCCCTGGTACCCACCAAACTTTAGCATTCCCCCCTTTTGTACTGGTAAAAGTTTAAATCACAGGACTGCTCTGGCATTGAAACATCACATTGGCTTCCCTCAACCCTATACAAGAGCAAACATACCCCCACTGTCTTAAGAAGCTTCATGTACATTTTTTCTTTTAGTTTAATATAAATGTTTCTTATAAAACATACCTTGAAAGTCATAATTTTTTATAAGAACATACATTAAAATCTTCTTGTGAATATATTATTCTAATCTTAACATTTTCTTCATGTTGTAATAAAATTAATAAACTGAAGGTGATTTCTGTTTGACATACTACAGTATAACAAATTATATTCTCAATCGATACCTTCAAAATATCAGCAGGCTAGGCAGGGCCACAGTCATAATGATAAATATAATTTACAATAAAACTGCTACAATTAGCATATTTGTCTTTTTAAAATCCCAAAGGATAAAAGTGAACAATAACAATTTGATCCAGACAGTGGAGTGTACATGCTTTGAGATAAGACCACAGTAAGACTATGGTACACCCTGCAACTTGCAATGACTGGTAGCAGGCAGGTCAAAAGGGATAGAATGACCATATACAGATGAGCGTACAGATGAGCACATGAATAACCCGACACTACTGGCATGGGTCAGATTACTTGGACAGCAGGTGCTTCAACATGCTCTCTGACTTGCCCTTGTCACTCCCATTATTAGTACGACTGTCTTCCATCTGTAACAAAAAAAAAATATAAAATATATTATCCAAACCAATCCAATATGAAATATAAACCAAGCAATAAACATGGGGAAAGAAAAATCAAATTCAATAAAGTAAAATATTGCTCTTAAATACTGGTAATTAAATTAATAATAGCAAAGCTTTTTTGTTACTACTCACAAAACCTGTCTACCAGAACCAAGTGCTAAAATTCAACAATATTCCTTTCTGGACATCCAAATTAATATCAGTAATGCAGATGATGAGCCACAATAACGTGGTTGAAGATATGGTGGTGAAATCCCACAATAGAAAATTAAGAAACTGACATTTCTTCATACCCTGATGTGTGGCTTGATCATATCAGTAATTTTCACTAAAATTTTATGAAACTTTCTCAATACATACATACACACATACATACATATCCTGAGGTGGTTTCATAGGTGTACTAATACCTTCTTGGTTTTGTTCTTCTGTGGAGGAGCTTTTGTCCCAAAGGGGACATGTTTTTCCCCTCTTTTTGTTCTTTGATGGTTTTCCTTAGTGGATCACCCCATCACCCTGTGGTATCAATCCCATGTGCTATTCAGCACTCTGGACTCATTTTTAGCAGGTTTCAATCATTGCTTTCTTGTCAGCTCTTGCTTTCCCTTTGGGTTTTTCAGGGTTTGGTTCCATTTTGTCATCCTCCCCGTTACTCAGTATGTTTAAATACACTTTATCTGTGGGATGAGGCTACTTCTGAATTCTTGAGGTTTCGTTCTCTGTGAGAGTCACTTGCAGGGTGTCTAATGTTCTCGTGGATGGATTATTAAGTTTCTGTCACTGAGCATGCCATCGATGATGTGTCTTTCTATTAGCTCTATGAGACCTTAGAGTTGGCTTGAAACTGGTGCCTTACCTTCCTGTGTGGCTCTGTTCCCCAATTGCGTGACTCTTGTAGTGGATGGCTTTCGACTCTACGTGTCGAGATAGAGGTGCATTTACTTTTCACCCCAGTTCAGTTGTTAATCTGGGTTCTGTTTAGTCTGAAGTCATACTTGGGGTGGGTGATCCTTGTGACTCCTTGGTGGCAGGACTAGCCTTGGTTTCTGAACCTGGACGATTTCCTGTGACTGCCTTTTTCAGCAGATCGGCCCATCAATGTATTTTACCAGTTCAAAGTTCTCTGCTTTTCATTTGTGGAGTTTTTCATGTGGGTCTATCACAATTTGTATGGCAAGCAGGTGGCTGGGTTGATGATATCCTACCTGTGTCTTCCTTTGTAGCAGCAGTAAGAAGTTGTCTGGCACTTGTTTGGGCTGTCTCTCCTGGCCTAGTTTTTCTTCTTTTTCTTTAATGCCTGTGACTTCCTCTCCTCCCTGGACATCTTATTCTCTGTGGTTAATTAGTTTCAGGGAGTCCCCAGGGGTTTTTTCCAAGACACTCAGGAGTGAGTGTAATGAAATGCATCTTTAAGGTAGAACCCCAGTGTCCCAGACTCCCTCTTTTCCTCCCTTCCAGATTCATTGGTGAACTGTTCATCAGCTCCAGAACTGAGCTGAGGTCCAGGAGATCTGACTGTGAGCAGGGGCCAGGCCACCTCATGATGGCAATTGGTACTAACGAGCTGTGAGATAGTATGAATGAATCTCGTTCCATGTGACTCATTTGTAGAGTTGTTTGGTGGTTTTTGAGGCTTTGTTTTCTGTGAACCCTCCAGTTGTCTGTAAAGCTTTGCTGACTTTCTGGATGCTTTCCTAGCAGGGTGGCAAACTCGCTCCCTGTACCTCTGTGAGTGGGCTATGTTCTGGCTCTGGTCCCTGGTAGGCCAAACGGAACTTCCGCGACTGATGTGACCTTTTAGCATGGAGCAATCTCAGCAAGATAGCTTCACGGAGCACCTGGCCTCTACCAGACAGAGGTGTTTCATCACATTTAGAGCTGGAATTCCACAAAATATTGTAGTTTGGAAAAATTTGATCAAAGTGTTAAAGGGATGTATGTATTCTGTCCATGCGGTGCAGTGTGGAGGGGCCTCGTAGCCTGGTGGATAGCGCGCAGGACTCATAATTCTGTGGCGCGGGTTCGATTCCCGCACGAGGCAGAAACAAATGGGCAAAGTTTCTTTCACCCTGAATGCCCCTGTTACCTAGCAGTAAATAGGTACCTGGGAGTTAGTCAGCTGTCACGGGCTGCTTCCTGGGGGTGGAGGCCTGGTTGAGGACCGGGCCGCGGGGACACTAAAAGCCCAGAAATCATCTCAAGATAACCTCAAGATAGTGGTAAAACACTCGCCCAGCACTGCGAGCACTTTGGTCTGGGTTCGTATCCTGGCCGGGGTTGATTGACTGGATGCCAAACCTTAACTGTAGCCTCTGTTCACCCAGCAGCGAATGGTTACCTGGTTGTTAAATGATTTGGCAGGTCGTATTCCGGGAAAAAAAATTGAATTGAGGACGTGCTCAAAACACTATGCGTGCGAGTGGCTTTACAAGAATGTAAAAACTCTTGTATGTACAGTATTCTGAAATTAAATTATGATGTAGGTTTGTGTTCTAAATTAAAAACTCTTGTATGTACAGTATTCTGAAATTAAATTATGATGTAGGTTTGTGTTCTAAATTATACAAGTTGTGTTGTGTAGTTCAACTTTGCAGTTGGTAGAGAGAAATGATAACTGTTGTGGTGGGATTACTAGTCAGCCCAGGGGCCTCCACAATAATGAATCTGGCCTTGTCATTTTCAATTCATCCAATTATACCACTGATTGTTACTCAAGAATGCTTTGCACCCATTGTAGCCTGTCCCAATGCTATAGTTATATTACAAATCTGGCAACCACAACTTTCAGAAACGAAACGGAATAATATTCTTAACAGAATCTGCATAACATGTTACACATGCATTATGTGCATGTCAAATTGCAAACATAAATATACAAGAAAAATAATAATATTACTGGCTTTAAATCAGCTCTATTCAAACTGTAATGAAAGCTACATTATGAATGAACCAAAGACTGTTGACATTACAGTTCTATATAACATAAATAGTAGTCAAGCGACTTACTCTGGGTGAAGAACTCAACCCTCCAGCCTGGCTTGTATTTACACTTTCTCCTCCCCATTTGTTGTTCTCTGTGAAAAATTAAACTTTAATTAAAAGATGCATTTACATTTCTTATGAAAATCATAAAAATTAATGAATACAATTTCGAATTATTTAAAAGTAATATTATATTGTATTTGACCATAGTGTGTATGTTACTAGAAGTTATTTTGGTGATGTACAGTACTGTACTAAACTATTAAATTATCATATTATACTAAGTGACTGTTAACCAATCAAAATGCCCACTCCTTGAAAAATTATAAACAGTAAAATCTTTGGTTTTATCTATATTTTCATTTTTTCAAGTACAATAATTATATAAATACTGTACAACATCATTCATATTTCTAGAAATTTTTTATTGTGCCATATACTCATAATATATCTATAAACTTTCGACCTTAATTTAAACTTAATATGAAGATAAAACAGTATTTAACTGTCTATAATTAATATATAAAACCCATAACAGTTCTCAAATAAATAAATTATTATATATATATATATACATATATATATATATATATATATATATATATATATATATATATATATATATATATATATACATACATACATATACATACATACATATACATACATACATATACATACATACATATACACACACATATATACATATACATACACAGTATTATGCAAAGATGATTCATGTTTAATGTGTAATCTAGTGTAAAATATACAAATCATATTTACCATATTTGATTTAGAATTCAAATTTATAACATGACCCATTACAGAGGAAATAATATAATTTACGTGCTTCTATGTAATGAACACTATTTAGTTACTTTAAAAGGCACAAGAAGTAACTATTAGACTCTAGCATGAATAGACTTGTTACAAAAAAAAAAAAAAATTACCCACTTTGATCATTAAACACCACTGAAGTACAGTATAAACAAAATGCTACTCTTCAAGTATATACAATATAAAAATGAGCAAGGAAATGAGACTGTCAGAGACTGGCTTTGAATGTAATGAAATGCCTTTTCTGGTCTTTCGGTGGCTCCCTGTTGCTTACTACCTGGTTTGCTCTACCCAATTCAAATTACAGTCTTTAAAAGCCTACTGGAGACCAGAGACCAAAACCTGGTCCCTTCACGGAGCTGCAAGGAGCCAAGGATTCAATATCACTTTAACTGAAGGAAAAGTAACCATAAAAGTAGAGCCAACTAAAACAGAAAACAGGAAGGTAAATAATTATTAAATCCATAAGAAAACAAAACTAGAAAATATGAACAAAAATGAAACAGTAGTGGGTAAAATGAAAATAATGCAGAAAATGTGCAAGACAAGCATGTGTTCTTTTTCTCTGGTATCAGCCAACTGCCAAATGTTGGCAGCAGCTCAAGCTGCCAATTCCTTCACACCACATGGCCAGTCTTGATTTGATGGAAGGCCAAAATCCATGACACCTAAAAGGTAATGGAAAGGTCCAGGGAGCCATCAAGAGACCCATTTGAAAGAAGCATTTCATTACATTCAATGCTGGTTTTCTGAGAGGGTTCCATCAGTGCTATCTCACCACAGAGAAAAAAGTCACAAGAGAAAATCACCAGGTGTGGAGGAGAGCAGAAGTCCATAACCCCCAAGAGAATGAAGTCAGGGACAAGAAACTTGACTCAAAGCCACACACAGGCCCAGCACAGCCCTGACAAATGAATCACTTATCAGCTGTGGTCCCTGTTAGAATGCCACAATCCCCAAGCATGAATCTTAGCCCAAGACATAGTGACAAACACAGTGCCCAAAGCCACAAACATCCACACAATATAGAACAGTGCACCCTGAAAAAGGACCACCAAAGGCAACAAGGGACAGACAAAACAAAATGCCAAGAACCCAACACTGCCGCTGTTGCGACGAGATATGTTACTAGTGGACTGACACATGTTAACTGACTAAGGCCCATAAAAACTGGGACCATAGCTGAGCCAGCAGAAAAAAAATGTCAACAAACAACCCCAACCCAGAAATAACTGGAGTAGGAGCTGAATTAGAAGACACAAAATACAATTCAAGTCCTGCCAGCCAAAAGAAAAGTTTCCTATGGCCATGTGGCCAGGGAACAGGGCAAAAAAGAACCCCCCCTGGGCTAAGCAGACTAACAAAGAATGAAACAGAGAGACCACCTGCATGAATATAAAACACACCCTGTACAAGCAGAAACAGAACCACCAGAAAGCAGGCTGGGTTAAGCAGGAGCACAGAGCCCATAGAAAACAGAAAATGCAGAGTACAGTATGTCATGATGTAATATGCCCTTACTGCCAGACAAAAAGAACTGTACCCTTTCCAGAAAAAAAAACAATGATCATGGCACAAAATCCCCACCCCTAATGCAAAGGAGAGAAAATGAGCCCAAAGGAAGGCCAGAAAACCAGCAAAGTATCACTGGAGTCACACAACAGACCCCATGTGATATGAAGGAACACAGAGAACTGGGACAGCTCAAAGCTAAAAACCCAACCAGGAACAAAACAAAGGACCCCAAGACCCCAGCTCCCACACAACTTCAGAGCACCAACTAAGAACCCATGAACACAGGCAGGTGCAGGAGGAAGACAACAAAGCCACTCAACACAGTATGCACATACAAACAGAAACCAGTGAAAGGCAAACTGAGGAACAGGTAGAGCCCCAGTACACCCCATTGCTCTGCCCTACTCAACACGGCAAGGAAAAGACAAAAAGAGCAAGAAGGAACAGGAGCACATGAGCAAAGGCTAAACCATTGTGAAAAGTAGTGCAAAGGAACAGCACAAGACAGATTGGGAAACCCAAGCAGAACAGAATTGCATAAGAGAAGTAAGGGAACCCAACCAAAGTGCTGTGCAAACAAACAGCTGAGTGGAAGAAGCAAGTCTTGTACTGAAAAAGTAATTACCTCACCATGTCCAAAACCAATATGCAAAGAGATTGATCAAAAAGGAAATTAGTAAAGGAACCATCCAAGCTCGACCCCCCACAACAGAACTGACTGGAATACTATCAGGCAACCAAGAGTCCTAGCCAGACCAGCAAGGATGAGCTATGTCCCTTAGCCAATGGATGAAGGAAACTTGGAAAACAAGATAGAATAATCCACAAAAAGGGCCCCCCTAGAGGCACATGAAGGAAGTGGACAAGGGGCCATGCCTAGAGAAGATGCCACAAGGAAAACAAAGAAAGATCCCTATTACATGGGAATGCTATCCCATCTAAAAAATGAGGCTGGCCAATGTACATGAGATAAACACCCCAGAGGGTGCAAAACAGTGTATGCAAAGAGGAACAGAGCCACTACCAAGTACTCCTGGCCCAAAGACAGGCTGGAAGCCTAAACCAGCCAGCTATCAAGGCTTGTAAGCCCAGATGCCAAATTGCAGCCACTAAAGAAGCAAATGACTTTTGCACCAAAAGTCATACAATGCCAGATTGACAACACCAAAACAAATAGAATCTTTTTTCTTTTTTCAGGCCACTCAGTAAAAAATATAGAAGGCATTGGAAAAGAAATACAAATACAGAAAGAATATCAAGTGAAAATACCCCCTGCAGATGGTATGAACAAGCAAGCAGGAAGGATACCCATGAACCCAACCTCAGTTCCCACCCCCAGCCCTGGGACCCCCAAGAAATGAAGATCCCAGGGCAGAGCCACAAACTGTGCTGTGGCTCTATGTTGTTGACAGATAGGTGTCTCCCTAAAGGAAGGAGCCGGGCCTGAAACTACATCCCCCCTGAGAAACAGAAGACAATGGAACACCTGGCAGACTAGCTAAACAACCTCCATTGCAGATGTGGAAAACCCAGCTACATCCAACAAAATACAAGCCTCAGACTCTGAAAACCATAGAAGCAGCAGAGCCCAAGGCAATGGAAGGGAATAAGATTCTTGAAACACCAGAAGGGCCAGGAGAAAGAAATGAAGGGGCAAATGGAGAACATAGGAACCATCAATTGTCCCACTCTGTATCACAATACAGTAATACACAAAGGCCAACTTGGGTATACCCCTTGCCTCCAAACCACAATAACACACATGTAAAAAACATACCAGTAAAGCAGCACCTGCCTGATAAATGAGCCTCACCCTGGTCTCAAAAAAAAAAAAAAAAATCAGGCAAAACATGGCAAAGAGAAACTAATAGATAGAAGGAATGCAAGGAAACTTCATGCGGTCCCCAAAACGAAAAACACAGGTGGAATAACAACAATTCAGCAACCTGTGCACCATACAAAAGATAAGATGTGAAGATCAGAGGAGAATGCTGATGCCGCAGCATATAGAGGTGCAGAGAAATCCACAGAGGTGCAATAGGTATGCTGAGGGAGAACTCTATTAACATCAAGGGTCTAAGACTTTTCAACACTCCTGCTACATGTAAGGAGCAAAACTGGCCGGCCTCTCACAGTTTTTAAGAGAGAACTCATGGCTGAGTTAGCCACCTAGGAGCTAGAAGGAACATCTTGCCTGTTTAAGTCTCCAACCTGGAGCAACAATTGGACTGGAGAGAACAGATAAAGGGATCGCCCTCTCCTATCAATTCACAGCAAGAGCGTAACAATCAGGGAATGGAGGCACGTAAGAGGGAAGCCACCGGTTTCATGCTAATATGAAAAGGTTCAGCTCAGGGCCACCTAATGTCTTGCAGAGGATGTGTCATCAACAGTCCACTATAAGGAAATGAGACAGAAACAAGAGAGAGTCTGTGAGAAAGTTAGACACACATGCACTTGAATCCACATAAGAGAACCAAACCAGAGAATCCTGAGAATCCAGAGTTACTCACAGAGTCAACCTCTGAAAAGAAAAACCAAAGTAACTACCTACTATTCAGATAATGAACCATCTGAGAGCAATCGGAATGGAACCAGAGAATGCATCCTGGAGAAAGATGTACCTTCTAAAGGGTATGCCACACTGCAGCAAACTCATGCACTATATTATGCACCCAATGGAAAAGACCCAACAACTCTGGGTGGCCTGGTGAGCACTGGTCACCTAAGCCCAGCCCAG